GGACCCAACAATAGGCCCAAAACAAGACCCGAAACCGTACAGCTCAGCGGGGGTTGAAGATCTAATTCAAGGCATTTCAACACTGTCAGTGTAGGAAAGATCAATCCATCCTTTTATATGATTAAACTTGTCAGTGTAGGAAAGATCAATTCATCCTTTTATATGATTAAACTTGAAATAGAGAGTATTGACAATTGCCTATTGTGAATATTGACATTTACCTGTATATCTATTTAAGCTAATTGAAGTTTTTAAGAATGTACACCTTATGAGTGGGATTATTTCGAAAAGGCTTGGAACCATTGGAGACGCGGCCAAACTTTAGCTCTTTTGGATTCAAGCATTGGAGATTCTTATGCCAGAAATGAAGTCATTCAATGCATCCAAGTTGGCTTACTATGTGTTGAAGAAGATGCCAGTAAAAGACCCACAATGGCTTCCGTGGTCTGCATGCACAATCCTGGTTCTGTTTCCCTACCAACTCCACATCGTCCGGCAGTTTTCCGGAGCAATGGATCGGAGAACAGGGTAGACGAGCTGAAAGTTGATCAATCCAACACTCAAAGAACTTCAGCTCCAAGCTCTGTCAATGATGCATCAATTACTGAACCATATCCCAGATGAAGGAAGAAATAGGCCAATTCTGGAAGAAAATATCAAGTTCATCATCAGCCTTATGTTGTAGATTTTGAAGCATGATTCATTAACCAGGAAGGTATCTAAATTTGCCCACTATTGTTGGAAATTAGGGGATCGCTTCAATGTTTGCTTCTTCACACTAATTGACTTCTTCCACCTTAGGGGTATAAGGATGTGCTTGAAAGAAAATGCAAGTTGTTGTCGCTCTTTAGATATTTTTTAAAAATAGAAGAGCAATTTTATTTATGAACATTAATCCCCAGCTGATCGAACAAACAGTTTGTCTTGAACTTTTACCATTTGTACATAGCAAAGTTGGCTTCCAAACTGAGTCTATCAATTATATCATTGTATACGTTTGGTAACAAAACCAATATGAAGGCTGTCTTGGTTCACAATTCTTGGAGTGTGTTATTAGTTAAAAAGAGTTTAAATTATATCAGATTCATCCTGATTTGGAACTTTTTCAGCATTCAATGATTTATTATCACCTAAGCTTTCTTAAGTATTCTATTGTAATAACATTGTACTTGCATTCATACAATCTTCGTATTTGTTATTCCTTCTTTTTTTTTTTTGGTTTAAAGTATTTACCCAATTTTGTCATTTAATTTTCTCTTTTCTTTATTCTTTTCCTTATTGGACTTACCTTTTTCTATTCTTCTTTTTAATGTAACTTAGCCAATCTTTTTCCCTTTTCTTCAAGCAAAGAAAAACCATTCATATAATTGTGTAAATATGATGGCTATCCCAACTATCAATGATTACGCAAAAAAGAAAAAGGATAGTTGATGCATTTATACAATCTTCACATTTAGCATATGAACTTTTTCAAGTGAATAACTACATCTGTGAATTATTCTGCTACATAAATAATCACAAAAAACCTAGAAATCTTGAGAATTTAAAGGTATATAAAATTCTATGAAATCCCCAAATGCATAGATGAAATTTAGAATATGGAAATTGATATTAAAAAATACAAAATTATCAACCCAAAATTATACAAGTGAATATCTTAGCAAGTGTATGGGAGATAATGGCAGATCAACAAAATATTTCTTATTCTTCATCTTGGATTTTTCTTTCCTTCATTTCATTCTTTCTTTTTCTGGGTCAGGAAAAGCTAGGGAATTGTGATGTTGTGATTGACAGGAAAAACTATTGGCACGTTAAGGAGGACTCTGTATTTCATCATTTTTTTTAAAGGGCTTGAAGCCGTTCCCTAATGGTATCTATTGATAGTTTATTGTGACGCATGTCAAGAAAGGATAGGTTGCCGTTTAGAGCTCGAAGGAATTTCAAATATTGAGATTAGTGACGGGGGTTGGTGTGGGCCGAAGTGTAATCGAATCCGGCTGAGCCTTATTTTTAACATGCTCCAACTCGGGTTCGAAATCAACATCGAGTTTCAATTTTAAGCTTGACTTTCCACTCCATTCAATATTTTGACTTTCGTCATGCTTGAAATTTTGATTGACTTTTTCTTAAAATTTAGGTCCTTCTATTACGTGCACTTAGTAGATTGGATAAAAGGTACTATCAAATTCTTTAATTATCACTAAACCTCAATTCGAAATTTGAAAGAAATATTACTATATCGGTTTGAAAAGAAGTTTATCACTAAACTTCTTGTGCTGACATATGAAATAAGAAAAGAAAAAAGAGTCACTTGTTTTTTTCCTGGCAGGAGCTTACGATGATGAAGAAGCTTCTGCACGTGCATTTGACTTGGCAGCATTGAAGTATTGGGGACAAGACACAATTCTTAATTTTCCTGTAATCTTGCAAATCTTTGCATTTTTTTCCCTTTTTTGTTGAAGAATTTTTTTTTAAAATTTTTTAGGTTAGATAATCATAGCGGTTTTGCTTAATGTATGTAGCTCTCGACGTATGAGAATGAGATCATTGAGAAGATATGTGTACAAACGCAATTGGCAATAGGATCACAAATTTCCTTTAAATGTTAGAGCTCCTTTTGATTTTCTTCCTATATTAAAGAATTTACTAGGTTCTCCAATGCAAAACAATAACAAAGATTTTCTTCCTATATTAAAGATTCTAATGCAAAACAATAACAAAGATTTCCTTCTCTTTCTTTTCCACCTCCAATCCTCTCTCTCTCTCATCCACAGCAGGAAAGCATATATTATGGCCTACTACTTAGTAGTGTAGTGGGGATTTTTAGGTTGGTCATCGCTTAAGTTAGAATATGGAGCAAGAGAATATTAGTTCCTTTTCATTCTCGAAAAACCCTGGTTCACAAAAACTGATAACATAAACGAGGATTTACAGGAGTAGCTCTATTGTGACCGGTTTCTTGCAAAAACAAAGATCAGCAACCATCATAATGGTCGCTTCTTACTGATGCTGCAGGCACCCTTGTAACTATGTTCAAAAAGTGGCTCTTAAACTTGATGAATTTTTTAAAACAAAGCAACGCGGAATTGGTCATTAATAAATGGGTAGACGTTGCTTTCCTTGAGGGTTCCTTTGAATTAATCAAAAGAAGATTAAGAAATGTAAATCAGTTTGACAAAATGGTGAACACGTATGTACTGCAAAACAAGTAGTTGGACAGTTTATTGGCATTTTTGACAACAAAAATTATTGGAAAGTTTCAATCCAATTAAAATGCGACAGACTTTACGGGATTTTATGGTAAATTACATGTAATCACCTTGGATTTTTATATTAATATATGATCTCCTTTACATTTCAAAATATCCGCATAAACCCCTATTGTTTCATGTAATATGAAAAATAGACGGAAAACATCAATGGTTACAGTGATTGAACTAGATGTGCTCCAAAAATGCATGTGGTGAATTAATAATATCCACTTAATGCTCCTACAATTTATAAATATCTACTTTAACCCTCTATAGATTTTGTATTTATCCACATAATTCTTCTATAACTTTATACAAGGTGGTCTGATTGTTGTTCGATTTAATATTTAAGTAAGGGCAATAATAGTAGTTCAACTAATTGTGTAACATAAGATTTTTTTTTGTAAAATTTCTATTTTATATGAAACCATAGAGGTTTTATATGAATATTGAAAATATTAGGGTTGTCATGTGACAATCAATGAATCTATAGGGGATTATGTGTATAATTTATCCTTTTAACTATATATAGAGAACTTTTTCTTAAAAGTATTGAACTAATAGATAGAGATTCAATTTGGGTCCACTTTACTCAAATTACAATTATCCTCCACGATGACGTTGTTTGATAGTTGTTAGCATCCTGAAATTTGCATTCCCGTCAAAATCCATTATTTTTTTTTTTGTCAAAAGGTAAAAATCTATTACTGACGTATTGAATTTTGGTTAGAGACCATTCAGCTGATGGTTCACGTCCAGGCGAGTTGGTTGTCTGCCAAGGTCAAGTTTTCCCAGGCCATAAGTTTTCCTGGCTTATACAACTTTCATGGTCCCTCAAACAATACTTAATTTGGCTCCTAATCTACCAATCTAGTTTGTAGGTTGTTAGCCTTTTACTCTTTTGATGCCTTCCTTTGAAATGATCTCCAGAAATTTGTTGTTCCACTTCAAATATTACATGCTTTGTTTGCTTAGCTTCCATACCATTGAATATTGTTGTTCCACTTCCAACGACACAAACCCCTGGAACTATCTTGACTCTTACTGTGGAAATATTACATACAATCCTAACAGTCCTTCCGGCAGCATTTACAGAGCCAATCTGAATTTCTTGCTTGACACTCTGTCTTCGCATGCATCTTGGACAGACAACAATGGCTTCTATAATTTCAGTACTGGCGATGACCCTTCAAACAAGGTCTATGGCCTCTTTCTCTGTCGAGGTGATGTCAACACTGATGTTTGCAAAGAATGCGTCGCAGATGCCCGCACACGACTACTTCATGAGTGCCCGAATCAAACAGCTGCTATTGTTTGGTATGACGAGTGCTTGGTACGTTTTTCTGACCAGACGATCTTCTCCAAGGCTGATTTGGGAGAGAATTTGACTAGGCGCAATCCAGTCGATGTCCCTGGACCTGACTGGGACAAATTCATAATGGTATTGATCAATTTGTTGCATAACGCTGCGGATGAGGCTGCATATCATGCCATGGGCAAAAAGTTTGCTGTCGAAGAAGGCAATTATTCCACTGATCAAAAGAGATTGTATACCCTTACGCAGTGCACACCAGATCTATCCCCTGATGACTGTAACAGGTGCCTCACAGAGGCTATAAGAGATGTACCCGCGTGCTGTTCCAAGAAGCAGGGAGGGAGAGTAATTTATCCAAGCTGTAACCTGAGGTATGAGGTCTCCAGCTTCTATGATACTGTATCCTCTGCATCGCCAAACTCTCCTGGCGGTCCTCCTCCTAAATCCACTGAAGGTAAGTTCTGCAGCCTTGCTATGGCCGTCTCTTCTTGGAATTGGTGTTGAATACAATCTTAATTCTTACAATTTCTTGTTTGTAGTACTAAATTCACATGCCTTCATTTTAAATTCATACCTTTATTATTGGAATTAATATTATTGAAGTTAGTAGAATATGTAAATATAGGATGAGGGGTGTGAATTCACTTTCAAACGAAAATATGTACCTATAGAAGACCACCACGTAACTTATTGAATTTTCTAAGTCAAATTTTAGTTGAATACGCAACAGTAAGATTTCAGCATTAGCAGATCACATGCAAATTTGGATCCATCATTTGTCATTTATGGACAGTAAATTTAGTCTTTTTGCAAGCATTAGGACTGTAATAACTATTGAATATATGTTCAACTGTTGAAGTAGTATTGTTATGGTCATTGCGGAATCCCTTTAACCGTGATGGCCTGACGTCCGAAAATGGGTTGGGCACTTTTGCATTACGTTTTTATTTAGTTATCTATCCATTTATCTATGATATGGTTTTTAAAACTCATATACTTATGTTATAATTTTATTTTGATTGCTTGATCAGCATACATGAATATAAAGTGCATTTGAGAAAGTTTTTGCATTCAATTTGCTAGAAACATTTATATAGTGTAAAAGGGTTTAAGTTCATGGAAAATTTTCCAATGATTAATCAAATGGAAAAAGTTTGGTATTTTTAATTTAACTTTTGAGTTTAACTAAAATAGTACATGAGTTATATTATGAATGCTATTGATAGCAAAATTGATGTAAAAAAATGAAATTACTATGGCATAATGCAAAGAAGAATCCATTTTAGTTTTTCCACTTTAGGACAAAGACATTGAAGAAGATCGATGATGTATTGTATGCATGTAAAAGATTTTCCGTTATAGTGCAATATATTTGTTTGCTAGTTTGAAATATGATATTAAATAATTAAATTAATGTTACTTCTTTGTGGTTTAATGTTTTGCCTCTTAACCCCTTGTGGTTTCAAAATCGCAATTTTACCTTAGTTGTGCTTTGGCAACGTGAAGCCATTTGATCTTTCTTTGTTTTGTGACAAAACTAGCTGTCAAAATTTTGAATACAATTATTAAGAACTAAAGTAAGATGAATTTCATATTTTAAGAAATAAAGTGCTTAACTTTGAAATTTAATGATTAAAGTGGTAGTATGTCTATAGTTCAAGAGCCCAAAGTAGAAAATAGCTGAGAAAAAAATATACAAGACAAATATTAGCATTGAAATCAACCAATACCATATTTACCCTCTTTGAAGTTAATTTAGCCTAAAAAGGAAAAATCAGTGATCCACTTTCAAAGAAAGTTCAAGGGGCCAGGATAATAGGATAATTTCACATGCACAAGAGATCATGAGGTATAACACTATATGCTTAGTGGCTAAGGTTGAGACCTTAGGATTTAGAGATCTTAAATTCAAATTTCCTTTCTCCTCCACTTTTAAATCCTATCATTGTTTTCTTGCCAAATAAATTTTTTTTACATTTGTTTCACAATGGAATTTTTGTTTTACTTTTTATTTCATCCCCTATAGTTATTGAACCTGGCGTGACCCTAGTAGTTGAAACAATCAGCCCAATGAAATAGGCTATAAATGAGTTGAGTAGAGTCGACTTTGGTTTAATCGATTCAAACTTGACTTAGTTTTATCAAGCTCAAACTCGAGCTTGAACTCAACAAGCTCTCAATGTAACAACTTGAGCTCGAACTTGACTCAAATTTGAATCGAGTTTGAATTCAAACTCGAATTTAAAAAAATTATTTTATTTTTTAAAAAGGAAATAAAATAATAATTTTCTTAACAAATAATAAAATATTAGGAATATAAACGTAATTTTACTATTAAAATAAAAAATAATATATATATATAATTAAGTCGGCTTATGAACTAATGAGTTGAATATCTTTGAACTCGAATTTAAATTCGAGTTTGACTTGATCAGGTTGAGCTCGACTCGAGTTCGATGTTGATCGAGCTCGACTCGAGCTTTGGATTGAATTGCTCGTAGGTGATTCGATTCGTTTAATCCTACCAATAACTCGACCATCCGGCCGAAAGGATTTCTAGTTTGATTGGAGAATGAATTGGTCCGATCAAACCTATTTGACATGGTGGTTCAATTGGAGCCTGTCCGGTTTTCCACTTGACTGGGTTCTTTTTTCTAATACAATTGTGGATCATTGTTTTTGAAATAAAGTGTAATATACTTTTGACTAGATTTGTATGTTGGATTTTCATTTAAATGTGTATAAAATTTTACTACTTGCTTAGTTTTTACTTGATAATTAAATGTTTTATTACATAAACTTGTTTACTTTTTTGTTATACAATTAATTCTTTTAACTTTCAAACTTACAATATTTGAGTTGTTAGAAATTATTTTATTTTTGAAAGATAAAATAATAAAAATAATGCTATATCTTTGAAAATAAGTGATACAATTTTGTTCTATATTTGAATGTGTTATTTAATTATATGCAAGTACAGTAAAATGAAATTGAATCTTCTATTAATATTTGTATGTTCATAATATATCTTTCAAAGTATAACAATTAGTATTTAAAAGTACTTTATTACTATTTTATAATTGTAAATATTAATTTAGTACCCACTACTTCAACTAATGACTGATTGGTTAAACTAGTCACCTGTTGCCCTGGTCCCTCTGTTGGATTTCTTGTCCAATCGAGTTTAATAACTATGCATATTGCCATGTATTCTTCATGTAGGGTCATAAAAAATCAAAATGGAATAACTAAAAACAAATACATGACAAAAGAACAAAAAACACCGCAGAGGAAACACATCGTTGGGTGATTTCCCACCTCAGATCCATGGTCTTCTGAAAGAGAAGGAAACTTATGCTATCCAATTTCACAGGCCACAGATGCGTGGTGCGAAATCATCCAGCAAATAAGAAATAAGGATTTGCACTTCTACACAAGGCTACAAGTGCATAGGGTAAAGATTTTTTTGGTGATTTGTCCAAACACAGTTAAGCTATTGGATTTTACTATTGGATCAAACTTTACATTTTTTATTGTAATTATATTTTGACCCATTTCGCACCGTCAAAGTGTTTTGTACAAATTGAATGACAAAAAATTCATAAATGAGAATGAATTTTAAGTATGTTGTTCTACTTGTGGAAGTAAAATTATTGACATAAATAGACTGTTATGAAAAATTTAGGCACATAAATGGTGAGAAAGTAATAGAGAGGATCTCAACTCTAGCTTTTTGTCTATGTAAGGCTGTCTCAGAGTGACTCTGCCTCGAAGTTTAATAAACTTGATCTCCTATGATCAGCTGACTTTCGAAGCTAAATTAAACTAACTTTCATCCAGGCAAAGGGCGAAGCCCCCCGCGAGCAGCTTTTTCAATTGCTGTCCCATTAATTGGGGTTGCTGTTGTGCTATTTGTCATGGCTTTAGTTTTCCTGAAAAGAAGATTGCGGAAGAGTCGTGTTGCAATGGCACCGGAAACAAGTGGTAAAGTTTATTGATTGCAATTACAGGAAACCTCAGAGGTTTTTGAACTAATAAATTGAGTGAAGTTGCTTATCCCTGGTGTAGATGGAGTTGCTGAGATCTTAACAGCCGAATCCTTACAGTATAGCTTAACTGAAATTCAAATTGCCACAAATAACTTCTCTGTGGATAACAAAATTGGCGAAGGTGGATTTGGTCGTGTATACAAGGTCTTTGCATGAGATATTTTGCTTTTGTGAATTTGAATATCTACACATTTAATATTTCAATTAAATTCTAGTATGCATGTTTAATCAGGGTGTACTTGGTAATGGACAAGAAGTAGCTGTTAAAAGGCTGTCAAGGAGCTCAGTGCAAGGTGCAGAAGAATTTAAAAATGAAATTGTAGTAGTTGCAAAGCTTCAACACAGAAATCTAGTTCGGCTATTGGGATTTTGCCTGGAAGGAGAAGAAAAGATACTCATCTATGAATTTGTTGCCAACAAAAGCCTTGACTACTTTCTCTTTGGTGGGTTCAATCTAGACATACTTATAGTAATTTTTTGTTGCCATCTATGGTGGGTTCTATTTATGGCTCTAGACAAATGTTTAATTCTAGTTTAGACCCTTAAACCACAGACGCACTCAAACTTTAGTTTTTAAACTTTAATTTTGGATATTTCACCTCCTAAAGCATGACATTTGTCACACATCATTACAATCACTCACTCAATTGTCAAAGTGGGATGATTTCATTAATAATTATACTGAAGTGGGACAATTTAAAACCTTTAGGGTGAAGTGTCTGTGGAGTGCATTTATATTTTAAAAGCTACAAATGTAATTTACCTATTTGATTATGCTCTATGGAGTTATTGTTTAAATTTGTGTAGATCCAGAAAATAAACGATCATTGAACTGGTCAAGACGTTACAATATCATAGGAGGTATAGCAAAAGGACTTCTTTATCTGCTTGAGGATTCTCGTCTAAGAATTGTTCATCGCGATCTCAAAGTAAGTAATATATTATTGGATGAAAATATGAGTCCAAAGATAGCAGATTTTGGCATGGCAAAGATTTGTGGAGTTGATCAATATGAAGGAAACACAAATAGAATTGCAGGGACAGTGTAAGTTTTGCTCCCATACTATCTTTTCTCACATAATATCACTTTGAATCTTTCATGGAAAATTATGTACACCTCCATTTGATTGCATCATTCGGATTATCTTTGTGCTGATTATAACAATCGTTGTGGCTTGTAGTGGTTATATGGCTCCTGAATACACAAGGTGGGGTCAGTTCTCACTAAAGTCAGACGTGTTTAGTTTTGGGGTTGTAATTTTGGAAATTGTCACGGGCAAGAAGAGCAGTGACTTCCATCAATCTAGAGATTCCGAAGACCTTCTAAGCTATGTAAGTACAAATTGCAAAACCTTTGCTATAGTTGTTACCTTTTTTTTTTTTGGCTTTTGCAGAACTGGGGAGGAGGATTTGATATTGGCACTCCTAATTTTCAACCTTTTATCTTTTCTTTTTTTTCATTATTAAATTCACCTAAACTTGCAATACCATTTTTTGTGTGAACCAGACCAAAATGGCACGATAATTTATGAACTACCTGCCCTAAATAAATACGTACTTCTGTTTATGTGCTTCTTATGGAAATTTTTAGATGTCGGATGCAAGACTTGTCATAATTGCTATTCTTTCTCTCGTTTTGTACGTTGTCACACACTCAAAGTAGAGTACTTGTAAATTTTAGTAAAGACCATTGTACTTCTTTCTCAGGTTATACTTAACTACAATGATGGGAAAAAAGGTTGCGATTCGAAATCTTTTATGAATAAATCTCATATATCACACAGTGTATATACTATCACCGTTAGATTCATAACATGTATGCAAAAGTTAAATTTAAAATTCAAATTTTGCATAATTGTTGTTCATCCAACACTGACAACAGTGTATACACTGTCAATGTAAGAAAGATTGATCAATCTTTTTATATGATTAAACTTGAAATAGAGAGTATTGACAATTGCCTATTGTGAATATTGACGTTACCTGTATATCTATTTAAGCTAATTGAAATTTTTAAGTCTGAACTCCTTATACGTGGGATTATTTCGAAAAGGCTTGGAACCATTGGAGACGCGGCCAAACTTTAGCTCTTTTGGATTCAAGCGTTGGAGATTCTTATGCCAGAAATGAAGTCATTCAATGCATCCAAGTTGGCTTACTATGTGTTGAAGAAGATGCCAGTAAAAGACCCAAAATGGCTTCCGTGGTCAGCATGCTCAATCCTGGTTCTGTTTCCCTACCAACTCCACATCGTCCGGCGGTTTTCCGGAGCAATGGATCGGAGAGCAGGGTAGACGAGCTGAAAGTTGATCAACCCAACACTCAAAGAATTTCAGCTCCAAGCTCTGTCAATGATGCATCAATTACTGAACCATATCCCAGATGAAGGAAGAAATAGGCCAATTCTGGAAGAAAATATCAAGTTCATCATCAGCATTATGTTGTAGATTTTGAAGCATGATTCATTTACCAGGAAGGTATCTAAATTTGCCCACTATTGTTGGAAATTAGGGGATCGTTTCAATGTTTGCTTCTTCACACTAATTGACTTCTTCCACCTTAGGGGTATAAGGATGTGCTTGAAAGAAAATGCAAGTTGTTGTCGCTCTTTAGATATTTTTTAAAAATAGAAGAGCAATTTTATTTATGAACATTATTCCCCAGCTGATCGAACAAACAATGTGTCTTGAACTTTTATCATTTGTACATAGCAAAGTTGGCTTCCAAACTGAATCTATCAATTATATCTTTGTACCAACGAATTATGAAGGATAGCCCGGGTTTACAATGTATACGTTTGGTAACAAAACCAATATAAAGGCTGTCTTGGTTCACAATTCTTGACTCTTACTATGGAAATATTACATACAATTCCGGCAGCACTTACAGAACCAATCTGAATTTCTTGCTTGACACTCTGTCTTCGCATGCATCTCGGACAGACAATAATGGCTTCTATAATTTCAGTACTGGCGATGACGCTTCAAACAAGGTCTATGGCGTCTTTCTCTGTCGAGGTGATGTCAACACTGATGTTTGCAAAGAATGCGTAGCAGATGCCCACATACGACTACTTGATGAGTGCCCGAATCAAACAGCTGCTATTGTTTGGTATGACGAGTGCTTGTTACGTTTTTCTGACCAGACGATCTTCTCCAAGGCTGATTTGGGAGAGAATTTGACTAGGTGCAATCCAATTAATGTCCCTGGACCTGACTGGGACAAATTCAAAATGGTATTGAAAAATTTGTTGCACAACGCTGCGGATGAGGCTGCAAATCATACCTTGGGCAAAAAGTTTGCTGTCCAAGAAGGCAATTATTCCACTGATCAAAAGAGATTGTATACCCTTACGCAGTGCACACCAGATCTATCCCCTTATGACTGCAAAAGGTGCCTCACAGAGGCTATAGTGGTTGTACCCGCTTGCTGTTCCAAGAAGCAGGGAGGGAGAGTAATCTATCCAAGCTGTAATCTGAGGTATGAGGTCTCCGTCTTCTATGATACTGTATCCTCTGCATCGCCAAACTCTCCTGGCGGTCCTCCTCCTAATTCCACTGAAGGTAAGTTCTGCAGCCTTGCTATGGCCGTTTCTTCTTGGAATTGGTGTTGAATACAATCTTAATTCTTACAATTTCTTGTTTGTAGTATACTAAATTCACATGCCTTCATTTTAAATTCATACCTTTATTATTGGAATTAACATTATTGAAGTTAGTAGAATATGTAAATATAGGATGAGGGGTGTGAATTCACTTTCAAACGAAAATATGTACCTATAGGAGACCACCACGTAACTTATTGAATTTTCTAAGTCAAATTTTAGTTGAATACGCAACAGTAAGATTTCAGCATTAGCACATCTTACTGATCACATGCATCATCATTTGTCATTTATGGAAGATTTTAAGTGGAGTCATACTTCTTAGGACAGTAAATTTAGTCTTTTTGCAAGCATTAGGATTGTAATAACTACTGAATATATGTTGAAGTAGAATTGTTTGCTAGTTTGAAATCTGATATTAAATAAGTAAATTAATGGTACTTCTCTGTGGTTTAATGTTTTGCCTCTTAACCTCTTGTGGTTTCAAAATCGCAATTTTACCTTAGTTGTGCTTTGGTAACGTGAAGCCATTTGATCTTTCTTCGTTTTGTGACAAAACTAGCTGTCAAAATTTTGAATACAATTATTAAGAACTAAAGTAGGATGAATTTCATATTTTAAGAAATAAAGTGCTCTACTTTGAAATTTAATGATTAAAGGGGCAGTATGTCTTTAGTTCAAGAGCCCAAAGTAGAAAACAGCTGAGAAAAAAATATACAAGACAAATATTAGCATTGAAATCAACCAATACCATATTTACCCTCTTTGAAGTTAATTTAGCCTAAAAAGGAAAAATCAGTGATCCACTTCCCAAGAAAGTTCAAGGGGCCAAGATAATAGGATAATTTCACATAGACATGGAGATCATGAGGTAACGCACTATATGCTTAGTGGCTAAGGTTGAGACCTTAGAATTTAGAGATCTTAGATTCAAATTCCCTTTCTCCTCCACTTTTGAATCCTATCATTGTTTTCTTGCCAAATAAATTTTTTTTACATTTGTTTCACAATGGATTTTCTGTTTTACTTATTATTTCATCCCCTATAGTTATTGAATCTGACGTGACCCTAGCAGTTGAAACAATCAGCCCAATGAAATCGGCTACAAATGAGTTGAGTCAAGTCAACTTTCGTTTAATCGATCCAAACTTGACTTAGTTTTATCAAACTCAAACTTGAGCTCGAACTCGATGATCTCCCAATGTAACAACTCGAGCTCGAGTTTGACTCAAATTCGAATCGAAATTGAATTCAACCTTGAGCTTAAAAAAAATATTTATTTTATTTTTTAAAAGGGAATAAAATAATAATTTTCTTAACAAATAATAAACTATTAGGAATATATGTGTAATTTTATTATTAAAATAAAAAATAAAATATTTATATATAATTAAGTCGGCTTATGAATTAATGAGTTGAATATCTTTGAACTCGAGTTCGAATTCGAGTTCGACTTGATCAGATTGAGCCCGACTCGAGTTCGATCTTGATCGAGCTCGAGTTGTCGTGAGCAGCACATCGAGCTCGAGCTGAGCTTTGGATTGAATTGCTTGTAAGCGGTTCGATTAATTTGCAACCCTACCAATAACTCGACCATCCGGCCGAAAGGATTTCCAATTTGATTGGAGAATGAATTAGTCCGATCAAACCTGTTTGACATGGTGGTTCAATCGGAGCCCCTCTAGTTTTCCAGTTGACTGGGTTCTTTTTTCTAATACAAGTGTGGATCATTGTTTTTGAAATAAAGTGTACTATACTTTTGACTAGATTTGTATGTTGGATTTTCATTTAAATGTGTATAAAATTTTACTACTTTCTTAGTTTTTACTTGATAATTAAATGTTTTATCACATAAACTTGTTTACTTTTTTGTTATACAATTAATTATTTTAACTTTCAAACTTACAATATTTGAGTTGTTAAAAATTATTTTATTTTTGAAAGATAAAATAATAAAAATTATGCTATATCTTTGAAAATAAGTGATACAATTTTGTTCTATATTTGAATGTGTTATTTAATTATGTGCAAGTACAGTAAAATGAAATTGAATCTTCTATTAATATTTGTATGTTCATTATATATCTTTCAAAGTATAATAATTTGTATTTAAAAGCACTTTATTTCTATTTTATATTTGTAAATATTAATTTAGTACCCACTAGTTCAACCAATGACTGATTGGTTAAACTAGTCACCCATTGCCTTGGTCCCTTTGTTGGATTTCTTGTCCGATCGAATTTAATAACTATGCATATTGCCATGTATTCTTCATATAAGGACTTGCAACAATAAGAAATAAGGACTTGCACTTCTACACAAGGCTGCAAGTGCATAGGCTAAAGAATTTTTGGTGATTTGTCTCTCTTCTTAATTTTCGTAATTAATTTTCTTCGACCTTTTTTCTTCTATAGCAATTCTTTGGCCTAAAAAAGCAATCTCATTTGTTTGGTTTTATTTCCAAAATATTTGCCATTGTTGTCATTTCTTTATAATCACTAGGTCTGGACAGCCTCGCTTACAATTTGTAGTCGTAATTTGGTCCAAACACAGTTAAGCTTGTGTATGTTCAAACCTCAGGGGAGTTTCTTAATATTAATCCATAATATTGAAAATTGATGATGAAAATCTCTCTTCATTTACCATCAACATGAAGCATGTGATACCAAAAGGTAGTGAAAAACTTTTAAAGAATATTTGAAAAAAAAATTCTTTCAAATAATGTGTTTTTGCATAGCTTTTTGGGTTAGGCTCTTCTCCATTAATTGAAGAAAATTTTTTCTCCATTACACCTAAGTAAACATGGTTATAATACTATGTTTGAAATAAAAGGTCATCCAAATTATATTTCTGGTGTTGTTTAAAGTATATTAAAAAATTTGAATTAAATTGATTAAATTTTACTATTGGATCAAACTTTACATTTTTTTTAATATAATTTTGACCCATATTGCACCGTCAAAGTGTTTTGTACAAATTGAATGACAAAAAATTCATAAGTGAGAATGAATTTTAAGTATGTTGATCTACTTGTGGAAGTAAAATTATTGACATAAATAGATTGTTATGAAAAATTTAGGCACATAAGTGAGAAAGTAATAGAGAGGATCTCAACTCTAGCTTTTTGTCTATGTAAGGCTGTCTCAGAGTGACTCTACCTCGAAGTTTAATAAACTTGATCTCCTATGATCAGCTGACTTTCGAAGCTAAATTAAACTAACTTTCATCCAGGCAAAGGGCGAAGCCCCCTACGGATTGCTGTCCCATTAATTGGGGTTGCTGTCGTGCTATTTATCATGGCTTTAGTTTTCCTGAAAAGAAGATTGCGGAAGAGTTATGTTGCTATGGCACTGGAAACAAGTGGTAAAGTAGATTGATTAATATTACAAACACTTCAGATTTGTTTGAACAAATGAATTAAGTCTGTTTGCTTATTAGACAATATAACCGACCATATAATATTTAGGCGGTAGACACCAGCCATATAATACTTAGGCGGTAAAACCGATCATATAAAAGGGTTGTGGCAACCCAATAAAGACAAATAACAAAGCAAAATAAAAGATACAGAAATTTACGTGGTTCGGTCAAATTGTCCTACGTCTACGGGCGGAAGAGGAACAATATTTCTACTATGAAGAAGATATACAAAAGCCGTAAAAAAATGGTTCCTAGGCCAAAGAGGTACCTAATACTAAAACATAAGAGAGTCCAAAGTATTTCTACTTCAAAAGGCTTAATGACCCAAAGACCCAAATAACCCATTAATGCTCTCTTGGTTTGGTACATTTAAAACCTTCAATCGGCCCTTCTATTATAGGCTCTCCAAAGGAGCCTTTCCTTCCGTTTGGCCGATGTGGGATGAAGCAAAGCATAAAGGTCAACATTTTGTGTGAACCAGACCAAAATGGCATGATAATTTATGAACTACCTGCCCTAAATAAATACGTATTTCTGTTTATGTGCTTCTCATGGAAATTTTTAGATGTCGGATGCAAGATTTGTCATAATTGCTATTCTTTCTCTCATTTGTACGTTGTCACACACTCAAAGTAGAGTACTTGTAAATTTCAGTAAAGACCATTGTACTTCTTTCTCAGGTTATACTTAACTACAATGATGGGAAAAAAGATTGTGATTCGAAATCTTTTATGAATAAATCTTATATATTAGACAGTGTATACACTATCACCGTTGGATTTATGACATGTATGCAAAAGTTGAATTTAAAATTCAAATTTTATATAATTGTTGTTCATCCAACGCTGACAACAATGTATATACTGTGTAGTGTAAGAAAGATTAATCCATCTTTTTATGTGATTAAACTTGAAATAGAGAGTATTGACTATTGCTTATTGTGAATATTGACATTACCTGTATATCTATTTAAGCTAATTGAAGTTTTTAAGAATGAACACCTTATGAGTGGGATTATTTCGAAAAGGCTTGGAACCATTGGAGACGCGGCCAAACTTTAGCTCTTTTGGATTCAAGCATTGGAGATTCTTATGCCAGAAATGAAGTCATTCAATGCATCCAAGTTGGCTTACTATGTGTTGAAGAAGATGTCATTAAAAGACCAACAATGGCTTCTGTGGTCTGCATGCTCAATCCTAGTTCTGTTCCCCTACCAACTCCACATCGTCCGGCAGTTTTCCGGAGCCATGGATCGGAGAGCAGGGTAGACGAGCTGAAAGTTGATCAATCCAACGCTCAAAGAATTTCAGCTCCAAGCTCTGTCAATGAGGCATCAATTACTGAACCATATCCCAGATGAAGGAAGAAATAGGCCAATTCGGGAAGAAAATATCAAGTTCATCATCAGCATTATGTTGTAGATTTTGAAGCATGATTCATTTACCAGGAAGGTATCGAAATTTGCCCACTATTGTTGGAAATTAGGGGATCGTTTCAATGTTTGCTTCTTCACACTAATTGACTTCTTCCACCTTAGGGGTATAAGGATGTGCTTGAAAGAAAATGCAAGTTGTTGTCGCTCTTTAGATATTTTTTAAAATAGAAGAGAAATTTTATTTATGAACATTAATCGCCATCTGATCGAACAAACAGTATGTCTTGAACTTTTATCATTTGTACATAGCAAAGTTGGCTTCCAAACTAAGTCTATCAATTATATCATTGTACCAATGATTTATGCAGGATAGCCCAGGTTTACAATGGTTCACACTATCCAAACAAACTCATGTATACATTTGGTAACAAAACCAATATAAAGGCTCTCTTGGTTCACAATTCTTGGAGTGAGTTATTAGTTAAAGGAGTTTAAAGTATATCAGATTCATCCTGATTTGGGACCTTTTCAAAATTCAATCAACATTCAATGATTTATTATCACCTAAGCTTCCTTAAGTATTCTATTGTAATAACAATGTAGTTGCATTCATACAATCTTCATATTTGTTATTCCTTCTTTTCTTTTTTCTTTTTTTGTTCAAAGTAATTTACCCAATTTTTTTTCTTTTTCTTTATTGCACTTACCTTTTTCTATTCTTCTTTTTAATGTAACTTAGCCAATCTTTTTCCCTTTTCTTTAAGCAAAGAAAAAACCATTCATATAATTGTGTAAATATGATGGCTATCCCAACTATCAATGATTACGCAAAAAAGAAAAAGGATAGTTGATGCATTTATACAATCTTCACATTTAGCATATGAAATTTTTCAAGTGAATAACTACATCTGTGAATTATTCTGCTACATAAATAATCACAAATAACCTAGAAATCTTGAGAATTTAAAGGTATATAAAATTCTATGAAATCCCCAAATGCATAGATGAAATTTAGAGTATGGAAGTTGATATTAAAAAATACAAAATTATCAACCCAAAATTATACAAGTGAATATCTTAGCAAGTGTATGAGAGATAATGGCAGATCAACAAAATATTTCTTATTCTTCATCTTGGATTTTTCTTTCCTTCATTTCACTCTTTATTTTTCTGGGTAGGGAAAGGCCAGGGAATTGTGATGTTGTGATTGGCAGGAAAAAATATTGGCACTTTAAGGAGGACTCCGTATTTCATCATTTTTTTAAAACTTTTTAACTCAAATTGGTGTCCAGATATTATAGGTGATGGCGTATTAGTGTAACAGTAGAACACTTAAAAAGGAAGTTAGGTTGCAATACATAATTGGATGCCTAAAAAGTCTCAAATCATGATGATCCTGATGATCCTGATATACACCTTAGTTAAGATATGTAAATGTCATTTAAATATCAAATTAGACATCAACTAATAAAATTGGATTAGATTAGTTACTGATTTAAATGCTGTCTTAACTTTTGGGCTTATATTTTGTGCTCTTAAAGCACCAAATAAGGAGTGGGTCTCCTTTTTTTTTTTCAGAAGGGTAATTTGTTTGCTAAAGTGTTGGTAATTTTAAAGGTTTAATGGTGGGCCGCTTTCCTTTTTCTATATGCTTATTTGGCGCTTTAAGCATCAAATAAAAAAATCTTAATGTAAAGATAAATGAAACAAAAATAATAAATATTTCCCCTGTTTTTTTTGTCTTCCTTATCATAGAGCAAGTATTGTAGGGTCCTTATTTAAAATCGGTCTATTTGATGGATAATGATTATTAATGTATGTTTATATATGATAGATGGGAAAAATGCACTTTTCATCCTCAAAGTTTGGGTTCTTGACTAATTTACCTCAAAGTTTCACCAAAAACACATTTCATCCTCAAAGATCCGTAATTTTAGTCAATCAAGGACAATTGACGGGAAATTAAGGATAGCTATTTAATTTGAACGGAACTTTGCACGTGAGAAGTACTATCTGTCAAATCCAACTCTATACTCAACCAAAAAGGGGTCAAATAGAATGGAGCCACTTTCATAATTACTTGCGTGTTGGTCTTAGATCGTGGTTAAAAATTTCCCAAAGTTTGACTTCTTGTTTCATTGGCTCGGAGACTTATAATAGATGAGGCCAGAATTGACTTGACTATTTCCACAAAACTTGCACAGTATCTATACTTGTCTGTTTGGAAGATAATCAAGCAGCTACTATATCTTTTCCACTCCATATCCCCACTCGACAAGAATCATCTCCTTATTCTCAAACAAATGCCATAAGAAAGTGTGGAAATCATATATGAACTCAGTCACCAATAAGGATAGGCAGCTGATGGAAGATCAAGCTTCGAGACAGAAAAGGAAGATAAGAAGCTACGTCTTTTTCATCGTCTTATTCACGGTTATCATCGGTTCAATCATCACAGTTTCCATAGCTCTTATACAAGAAAAAGAGTCTAAGTTACTCTCCGCTTCAACTCCAGATAGAGCAATTCACGCCATCTGCAATCTGACTCCAAAACCAACCTCATGTTTCGACTCTATATGGTGCCTCCGCACGAATTTCTCCACCGATTTAGGTGAGATCAAGACCACCCCATCAAGAATTTTCACCCTCTCTCTCCGTGCTGCTATCAATCAACTAGAGGACTTGATTTCAGCTAATGAAAAGGCAATCTCTGAGGTCAAAGATTCAAGAACTTTGACAGCTTTGAAAGACTGCAATGTCTTGTTCAAGGATTCTTCAAGGCTTGTAAACGCGTCTGTGACAGCAATGGGAGTCGAATCTGATGACAAAATCTTTAAGGTCGCGAAATCTGTTGATGACATGAAAGAATGGATGTCAAACTCTGCTGCAAATATAGACAAATGTTTCCTTCTTCCTCTCACTCACTCTGCTAATAAGGCCTCCAATAATGAGCCTCCACCTTCTGCTGCTGACTTGCATCGTCAAGATAGTGCTGCGTCATCCTTTTCCAACAATAGCGTGAAGAGGGAGAGAGAGCTCGGTAGCAGCGAAGAGGTGGAGATCGAGACAGTTTCCTTAAGAGTAAGTGATGAAGATGATGATGGTTCTAATGGAAGAAAGAAGCTTTGCCTCACAAAAGCTCAGTCTGCTCTTTTGGAAGAGAGCTTCAAGCAGCATAGCAATCCGATAACATCTCTCTCTCTCTCTCTCTCTCTCTCTGTGGCTGGCTAGTTGATTTATTTTCACACGTAATAGTATAACATTCCTTGCTCTCTTTTTTAACATTTGAACAATCATTTCACAGGGCAAATTAAATCGTGTGTATATACATACATATTTGCTGATTTTGCAGAAGCAAAAGCAAGATTTGGCGAGGGAACTGAATTTAAGGCCTTGACAAGTTGAGGTGTGGTTTCAGAACAGAAGAGCCAGGTACTTGCTTCTTCATCCCTCATCCCCGAAGATTAACAATGTTGAGGAAAAACAGAATCGATCGTGCGAGCCGGTTTTTTGAGATATGCATAAATTTTGTCCATTTGAAATAATAGAGGGGGGCTTTTTCTTGGCTATACGCAGGACGAACCTTAAGCAAACGGAAGTAGACTGCGAGTTCTTGAAGAAATGCTACGAGACGCTGACGGACGAGAACAGGAGGCTGGAGAAGGAGCTACAAGAATTGAAAGCGCTAAAACTAGCGTAGCTCTTGTACATGCAATTGCCAACGGCTACACTGACCATGCGCCCTTCTTGCGAAAGGGTCGGCAGAGTTGGTGAAAACTCTTCCAGTAAGAGCCCATTTTCCATGGCCCCAAAACCGCACTTCTTTAATTCCTTCACCAATCCATCTACAGCTTGTTAGCTAGCTTTTAATGTAGCGATAGAGATAATAGCGTGAGCATTAGGCATGAGGCATTAGGCATGAGGGTACTAAAAGGGTCGTGGATCATTAGGCATGAGGCGTGAGGCGTGAGCAACAGAGGGAGGTGAGATGGGTGCGGAGAAAGAAAAGAACGGAAAAATCGCCAAAACTCATTTCCTCTTCGCCCTCTCTCACTCTCTGAGAGAAAAAGAGCAAAGAGAGGAAGGAAGAAAGGATAGTGCAGTGTGTGTGGATCATAATGAAGGAGAGGGAAGAAGGAGAAGAATGTTAGTTTTCGTCCGTTGCAAATTATTGTTCCATTAAAAAATGGCTCCATTCGGTTTTACCCATTTTTTATTGGGTTTAAAGTTGGTTCTAACGGCTCACATGCAAATTTCCGTCAATTGTCCTTAATTTCCAAAATTACGGATCTTTGAGGATGAAATGTGTTTTGGGTGAAATTTTGAGATGAAATTGGTCAAGAACCCAAACTTTGAGGATGAAAAGTGCATTTTTCCCTATGATAGATTGAATGAAATATAGTTTCATTAATAAGTGGCTATTATGAAACAATTAAAAGTGTGGATGTCCCTTTGTATTCCCAAGAGGATTAATTCATGATTTATGGCTATATTATGTATAGAAGTTACAATCCATAAATCTATTCATGTAGTGGAGAAACCGTTTCATAGGTTTCTTCATATTCTTATAGTAGTGAGTGTTTAATAGAATTGATATACCTTTAATCTTGTAGTACCTATATATAGAGGTACATTGACACCCTTTGTGAAGACTTTTGTATTAGTTGGAATAATAAGAATATCACTCTCCATTTCTCTACATCTTTCTCCAATAGTTCACTTGATATTATAGTGGTTTATTTTATTAGTTTTACAACACGTTATTAGCACGAGACTCTACTTTTGAGCAAAAGGGTAAAACGGAGGCTCTACATTGAACAAAGTGAAGCACTAGATTTTATCGAAATTCTGCTCAAGAAAATTCTAAGGTAAATTTCTAACTCAAAAACTTATTTCAATTTCTTATGGCTAATCTTACAAAACAAGAGTTTGTACCTCTTGATATTTCTGAAAAAAATTATTTATCATGGGTATTGGATGTTGAA